CACACGGGGGTGACATTAACTCCAATGAAAAAAATTTCCTGTTATTTTTCATCGTATGACCAATATCTTATACATATCGATTATTGATAATATATCCTAAATTATCGATAAATGCCGTTTTTATCTTATCAATATATATCGATGTTTTGCTATATATCGATATGTATCTATATAAAAAATTTTCTGATGTTGTGCAATAGAAAAATCAATAATTCATATTGGTGAAAGTTATTTAATCTTATATCGCAATCTTACTTCAAATTCATCTCTATACACCTATAAGTCCAGGTGCCTCTGCTGGATCAAAAGACTCTTATCATCATCAATTTCATAAATAACCAGAGGATATAGAATAAGACTTGTGCTCGCATCTCTTCTTCACTGGTATTCTTTTTTATTTCCCTCTTGATCAATATATCGTGCAGTGTTATTATATAGGAATAATCTCATTTGAATAACTATTAGCATCTGTAATATAAGATTCGAAGGATCGAATATTGTCAATTTTTAAACAAGCCGTTTTCAAATTATGGTATATGTCTTTAATATTTCGTAGATGCCCTTGATGGAATCGTTTTTCATTATCAGAAGGAAATAACTTGAAGCTGAGATCGTGGTGTTCTAGTGTTAAAAAGAGTCGGCGACGCATGTGTAAAATAATTTTCAGACATTGAATTGTTGGTTTCAATTGCTGCATTGATATCTTCATCATGAATGCAAACAGCCACACGCATAAGCATGTATTGTAGCCTTTCAACTACTTTTTCATCAATTGGGTCTTTCAAGTGTTCAGAACCCAAAATAGTAATCTTTATCATATAACAGCAGAATTAAAATTTTCCAATTGTTTCGTAACGATATTATAAGTTGTCTTCACTAATTTTTTCATTCTTACAGTCCCAAGATTATTATGACAAAAGAATCAAAGAAAGCAATGCTCTTTTGTGCCTGATCTAATATTATAATATTGAAGTTTAAAATATTTCAGTGACTTGTTCAAAACAAGGGCGTCTGCTAATCTTTTTCCTACTTTGATCCAATATGTCTGTAACTTGAATTTCCACAGACCTAAAGAAGTTAGCGTGTTATTGTGGAGAAGATAATCACTTAACATCTTTCCTCCTTTGTAACCAATCTGATATTGGCGAATACCTAAAAATTTTATGACAGTGTTTTTAGAAATCTTAAGTTGAGCTAATATAAGATTCAAAGAAGTTAAAATATAATTCTCATCGAGGTTCGTTATTAATCCTTCCGTTGTTTGAGGAATGAAGGTGACTATTTCATCACGAACAACAAAGTTAAGCTCTGGCTTATCTACTATAGGCCTGAGAAGAATCGCTATACACTTCTGAAAGACCTCTCTTTGTACTTTATGGAAACTTTCAGAATTTTTTGTTTTAGTATCCTTAGCCTTTAAGATTGGAAGGTATCCAATTAATGCTTTAGATTCT